CAGAGTTCGTGTCCCCCACCTACAGCGAACTTCCACACAGGCACATAAACCAACCTTCGAGAAGCCTCCCCCGCCATCGCCCCAACAGCAGAACAGTCTCGTTGCTAATTTAACCTGAGTTTCCGGTCACCTGGAGTTTCGGCTTTTCTCCACTGAAGGAGAGGGCTTTGGGGAAATTCTATTTATTTAGTTCCAGGGCCTTCAAAGAGAGTGGTCACTCATGCCCATCGTGACAGGATCAGGCATGGAGCCAAGCTCATCAACACACATCTGACCATCTTCACTGTCCCATTCCCCAGAGTCCTGCTCTGGGTTCTCTCTGTGGTCCTCTCTCCCACCTCTAAGGAGACCTGGGCACTGGTGTCATCATCCTGGACCCATCGTTTGGCCATGAGAGACGCAGCCACAGTGGAATTTCGAAGTGTGTTGCCAGTTCAAGGCTGAGCTGGCCTGGCTCGGGGTCTGCATATAAGGAGACATTCCATCTTCAGTGGCACCTGGTAGCAGCAGGTAACAGCAAACACTTTAGGCCTGTGACACTCTCCGGCAAAGGCAATGCTGAAACCAAGAAAATAGCTGCAGTTTGAGGCCGTGTAAAGTGCTTTCTGGTTTCCGCTAGGCTATTAGCGGTAAGAGCTCGTGTGATGGACGCTTGGCATCCACTCTTTCAATAGTCACAGTTGCAGCGACAGTCTCTCACTTCAGCTCACTTCAGGACAGGCTAACACAAGGTCAGTGTTCATAGCCCAGGGTTCCTGAAGGAGAACAGACCTCATAATTAATTTTTAATAATCTTACAGCCAAGATTAATTACTGAGGCATAATGAAAAACACTAAAAAATTATTGGAAAACCATCTAGGCGGTGCTAGACTGGGGACTTTGGATCTGGGGTAGTCTGGGGTTAAAGCCTGGCTTCACCATGTGCCTGCCAGATGGCCCTGGAGATGGCTCCTACCCAAGGACATTTCACACCTGACAGTGTCACTTAGTGAACAGTCACTGACTGGAGAGTTCACTCACCCGGGAAGGGTGCAGGCCTGAGAGCGAGCTCACCTACAGAAATGACTGCCCTGAGCGGTTACTCACCCAAGAGCTCACTCACCTGAAAAGGTCACTCACCAGTGGCCAGTTTCTCTGATGCACTGGCTGCAGAGAGGACTCCAGGTGACCTCCAAAATACTCACTTCCAGCTAATGGCTTCTTCATCTCCATTGTTATAAAGGTGGTTTCAGTTACCACCCATTTCCTCCTGAGCAGAGTCTGGGATTTATCAAGAGCCATGTGGCTCTGGAGGGTGTCACAGTGTGGAAGTGCCACCGTAAGGCAAGCCCACAGTTTGGTGCTTGATGCACACATGAGGCAGGCATACATGTGGGGGGGGGCGTGTATGCACACATGGGGTAAGCATACATGAGTGTGTGTAGGGGTGTATGCACACACGAGCTAGGCATACATGAGTGTGTGTGTGTGCATGTGTGTGTAGGTGTGTATGCACACACAGGATAGGCATACATGAGTGTGGGGGGGGGGCGTGTATGCACACGTAGGCTCTCTTACCCTTGTGAGCACAGGAAAGCAGGAACCTGACTCAGACCCAGCCACTGAATATTTTTTCCCTAAACTTCCTGTGTAGAATTAGAATCAAACAGTCTTCACATTCACAATGTTGTCACGCAGATTGTGTTCATAACTGAAGAGAGGACTCTAGAGAAAATTTGATTTTGTGTTTTCCAAAGTCTGAGTCTTCCCTTGCCTGCTGCTGCTAAAGCCCTGTTAGGTTCAGGAAGCATGATCTATGCTGGTCTAACATGGGGTGGTTCTGCCTATCAGGGACCCCAGGGTGGCCTCCTTGGGTGAGTCAGGCTTCTTTCTGTACCAGGGAGTACCTTGGTCCAGATACTTCCCTCTGAGCATGGACAGCCTCACAAGGCCCAGGCTCCTATTTCACCCAGCGGGAGGCTCCCATCCACTGGGGCCGCTGGGGCTCTGGGACATGTTTATGTGGAACCATGAGGACAGGGAGAAAGGTGGGGAGTCAAAGAACCCCACTTTTAAGGGCTCTCCCTGAATGCTACAAGATCTTGCTTCTCTTTCTGTACATTGGAAAGAACAGAGTAATGTGGCCACACTGAGCAGCAAGGGAGGCCGGGAAGGGCAGGATTTATTCTGAATATAGTACGCTACGTGCGCTTAAAAACTTCAGGTCCTGAGCTGGAGAGAGCTGAGCTGACAAAGTACACACACGTGTACACACTCACATGCAGCCACACACACACACTCTCACACACAGGCGAATTTCAAGAAAAGACGAGAAGCTCATATCCTGTTAGCTAAGAAAGGCAGGGAGCTGAGCAAGCGCAGTCGCTGACACAAAGACATAGGTTCGTTAAAGCAGCCACTACCGAAAAGCTGGCTGCACCAAGGTCAATGGAACCACATAGAGGTAATTCTCCATCGCATCAGCAACAGAACCCTGATTCCACACAGACTGTTCATCTAGAACATTCTCTGTGTCATGTTGCATACCCTTTCCATTGTGAAGCTGAGGGCTTCTCCTTTGAGACCTGAGTGGTTTGTTTACAGAAAGTTTGCTTTTCCACTACTGTGATAAAACACTGACCAACAGCACCTGGGGGAGGAGAGGGCTTGTTTGGCTTACAGTCCACCATTGAGGAAAGCCAGAGCAGGCAGGAGCTTCAGCAGGGAGCTGGGCTGCAACCTGAAACAGAGACCATGGGGCAACCCTGGCTGTTCACCAACTCGCTCAAGCTTAGTTAGCTTCCTCATTCAACCCAAAAGCACCTGCCTGGGGAAGGCACCGCCCACAGTGGGCTGGGTCTTTCTACATCAATTAGCCATCCAGAAAATAACCTACAGGTGTGGCCTGGAGACAGTTTCTCAACCGGAGCTCCCTCTTCCTGGGTGTGTCAGGTTGACATAAAGCTTAGACATCATGGTACCTTTACACAGAGGTTCTGGTGTCTCACTCATGTGGAGGCCTCTTGGATGGACCGTGGGAAGGGAGCCGTGATCTTTCATTTAGAACCCGGGGCTGACTAAGCCAAGACACAGCCAAGCGGGCTCCTTCCTCAGCGGGCCTCCCGTTCTTTGCTTGTGGTATCCCAGACAGAGGCACAGGGAGTGTGGCACCATCGGGAACACCTAGGCAGGAGGCGGGGCCTCTTTCCCTGAGCAAGTGGAAGAACGGGTGACATTGAAGAGGCTGCCCTCCGTTTTGAGTCCCTCCTGGTTCTGCCCACGGGAAGCTGGCTGTTTGCCTGAGCCTCTTGTTTTCCTCTATTTGGTTTTTATACTTTCCAAATAAGATGTAAAGGCACACACAGTGCATAATTATAACACTTGCGGGATAAGGGGGAGCTGTTTTCTCTTTTAACCACATCACTGCCGTCCCCAGTGTTCTTACAATTAGAGGGCACAAAAAAGGCCTGTTCTGGGAAACGGAGGTGATGACTGCTTCCAGGATGGGGAAGACATTTGAACTCAACTGTTTATACAGGCACGTGTATGGGTGCATGCATGTGTGTGCATCTGCATGCATGTCTGTATGTGTGCATGCATGCACACGTTTGCATTTAATCAGGTCTTTTATGCTCTGTTTTCTGGTATTTCAGCATCTAAGGTCCTTGCTAACCATGGAGACCTGCTTTTGCCAGGGTGACCAGCCTCCAGACACAGGAAGCAGCTTGCCTGCAGTCTCTGTCTGAGTGCAAACCAGCCCCAGCCCAGAACGCACATTCAGCACATTCCTTGTTGGGCACCAGGTCACTGCATAACTGCCCTAACCACCCCTAAGGTCAGGGACAGCAAGGGACAGCCCAGAGTCCTGCTACACCTGCTTGGCCTGCCTCACCCTGCCCTTCCTGCAAAGGCCACCCTAGTGGCCCTTGTACACACCTAGTCCCTCTGCCTGCTCCAACCCTAGCGCTTTGCTGGAGGTCCTGTGTTGTGTGCTGGTTTCTGCTTCCAGGGATCAGTGAGAGTGACCTCTTCCCTTGTGACAGTCTTTGAATCCATGTGTATGTCTCAAACCTCAAAACACGCAGTTCCAGCTCAGCACATGATGGAAACCGTATGTTTCTAGGTCCCATTCAGCAGGCCACACAGGACAACTGCATGTCCCTTGGCCCCTGGTGTGTGTCTAGACAATGTTTGACTTTGCATCACAAAAGGCGCCCTGTGATGTCAGAGTCGCCATGAATCACAGTGGCAGCTGCCCTGGTATCCAAGAGACCTCCCCTGGCTGCTAAGTCACCATCCCCCCAATCTCCCTGTGAGAACCAGTCACTGTACTGAGCCTCAGCTGAAGGACCTGGATTCCACATGGAATGACCCACATTGTGTCCAGCTAAGAACTAGTCAGCCTCTGGCTAATTTCCTGCCTCTCGCTGCTCTGGGAACCTGTGCTGTTTGCTCCTGTCTGGAGCCTCTGTGGCTATGCTGAGCACTGGCTGCTCTGGCCAGGGTTTCCATAGCCACCTCTAGGCTCCAGGACCAAACTGCTGCAGTCTGTGAATGCAGCCTCTCCTCTGTCCTCTGTGCTCCTGCCATCTGCACGACTAAGCTCCCCCTGCCCTGCTCTTCAGATGTGTTTGTTGACATTTCCGCATCTCTAAATGGGAGTGGACAAGTGACTTGCTCACTGAGACCGAGTGAGGCTCAGGTCTGCTTCTCCTGCACATGGAGAGATGAATGGCCCTACTCTTCTTGGTAGAGACTGTACACAGTCCCAGCCAACCTATTTCATGAGAAAGGGGTGGGGGCCAGGTGTGATGGCATACATCTTTGATCCCAACAGGGGCATGTAGATGGATCTCTGGAAGACTACACAGTGAAGCCCTGTCTCAAAACAAAACAAAACAAGCAAACAAACAAAAATGGCGGTGGTGAGGTGAGGTAAGGAAGAAAACCCGGAAGTGAAAGCATAGGCTTGACCCCACCCCCACCCCACCTCCCCTCCAGTCTCCCTTTCTGCTTTCTGGCTGCCATGATGTAAATCTCTGAACCCGTGAATCAAAAGATGCCCTTCCACCTTGAAACTATTTCCCACCGGTGTTTGTCCCAGCAACAGAGATGTCTGGCTCCCACACCCGGCAACCGTAGTGGAAGCTCTCTGAAGACAGGGGCTTTCTGCCTTGTCCATCCTTATTCCCTGGTGCCTGGAATGGTTGATACCTCAGAGATGCTTCTTGAAGAACTCGGTGAAAGAGAGCGTGGGTGAGCAACAACCTCTGCCCTGCTTGGCTGTCTGACCTGGTCCCAGCAGCACAGTGCATCTCGGGCACAGGCACATCCTTGGCCATCTGCCTCTCTGGTCGGTAGGCACTTCCCTATTCCTGCACTGTGGATAGATCATTCGTTCTGTTGGCAGCAGGATCATTCTTATGGATACATACAGAAGCAGGACTTCCTAAGACAGAGAAGCCAGCTGCGCAATCCCTGGAGAAGCCAGAAGCAGACTTGGAAATGAGAAAGCCACAGGGTTTAGGAAATGGCCCAGTAGATAAAAGCACTTACCAAGCTTATGTGAGAACCTGGGTTCAAATTCCCAGAAGCCAGGAGAGAAATGGGTCTGTAATCCTGACATTTCTACAGGAAGCTTGGTGGAACAGGAGCTGAAGAGATGACTCAGCGGTTAAGAGTACTCCCTGACTGTTCTGGAAGAGGTCAGGGCTTGGTTCCTGGCACCTACACGGCAACTCATAACTATCTATAACTCCAGTTCTAGGGGACCCAACATCCTTTTCTGGCCTCTGTAGGCACATAGTTATACATGCAGGGAAAACACTCAAACACATACATAAAATAAATCTAAAAATAAAACATGGCAGGAATAGACGGGTAAATTTCTATATGGGGGTAAAAGAAGACTTAGGCCAGGTGCTGGGAGCACACGGCACCAAAACACAAAAAAGACCCTGACTCAGAGGAGAAGGGAGTCAGGAACAGAGGCCTGGATTGCATTCTGACCTGATTGCTACATATCCTTCATGGCGCAAGTGCACACACACTTTACACACACACACATATCACACATACATACATATCACACACACACATACATATCCACATCATACTCATACACACACATATATACACACATCACATACCACATGCACACACATCATTTAAAGCAGTTATACAACCAAACAGTCCAAAGCTCTCAGCCCACAAAGCTGCTCACATGGCCAGATCACTCTCTGGACACCAATACTGACACCCCATTCATTACCCAGAGCATCAACAGAGGGTGCTGACATCTGACCAAGACTCCTTCATCAACTGATCTCTGGGCCAAATGTGGGTCCTCCAGTCATGAGCCATTCCAACCTCTTATTTCATGAAGTTCCTGGTCCTAATGTCACAAGATTCTGACTGAAAAGTGTGTGTGTGTGTGTGTGTGTGTGTGTGTGTGCCCATGACTAATACCCTCAGAGCCCCTAACTGGTCCAGACATGACCAATGGTAGACAACACCTCGGACCCTATGGTTAGCGCAGCTGCTTCCATGGTGTGGAGTTAATGTAAGTTTCTATGTGGTTCCAAAGAATGGCAAAGCCAAATGTGTTGGCACCCCTGAGAATCAGCACTGCAGACGCTGAGGCAGGGAGATTACAAGGTTGAGGCAGCGTGAGCTATAGAGCAAGATTCCGTCAGAGAAAAGAGGAAAAGGAGGAGCAAGAAATGAAGGGGGGCTTACAGGAGGAAGAAGAGGAGGGGGCAAGAAAAAGAGGAAGAAGGGGAGGAAGGAGATGAGGAAGAACAGAAGGAAGAGGAAGGTGAGAGAGAAAAGGAAAGGAAGGGAGGAAGAGCAGAAGAGGTGGACAAGGAGGAGGGTGAGGAGAGAGCGGGAGGGGTGGGACACTCCCTAATCTTTAGGCAGGTGGCCGTGGTTTTAGAGCTGGCTTCTGCCTAAGTCACTAACTGCAACACCAGATGTCTGCAATCTATCCCTTTAACACCTCTGTCTCTGGTGGTGATAGACAGCATTGTGCCCACAACCACGAAGGCCTTTGGCTGAGTGCTCGCTCACAATTGGTTACTTGTTCTTGCTCAGCACAAAGTCACCTCCACGCTCAGTGCGGTTGCATGCAGAAGAGCTCTTCTGCTGTCCGAAGTTAACACGCTCTCTGCAGATGTGGGGCTCCCATTCTCAAAAGCAGACACAGGACGAGTCCTGCGTCAAGGTTAACCCTTCTTCCCCTTCCTCATCTCTGTCACCAGTGTTCATATAGCACCATCACCACACCGAGCAACGGCGAAGAAACTTATTATGGTTCCTATGTAATGGATAGTTCTTCTGAGGACAGGTTGCAGGGAGTGTATTAACCAAATAGTCACTCAAACAAATGCAGAAAGGAAATGAAGGCCAACATGACTCTAAAGACAGCAAGATCCCAATGCTTTCCCTCTCCCATCCTCAGTCACTTTCCCTCCCCACAGAGTGAAACCCAGCGTCCCACAGACTCAGAGAGATACAGGCCCTGGAGACCCCTCTGATCTTCTGACATTGCTTACTGACTCGGGCCCAGCCACACACACCTTTCTCTGTTTCCCTCTATTGAGTCAATTGTTACTTTAAGCATTGGCTCCACATAGTCAAACCCCAGGGGGGAATACATGCTCAGAGGCTGCTATGGCTTATGTAAGAAAAACGAGGCAGACAGGCAGACAGGCAGACTGACAGACTGGCAGACAGGCAGACTGGCAGACTGGCAGACAGGCAGACAGACTCGATCTCTACAGGCTGAGACTGGTGATGTATCGGAACAGGGAAGGACCCCAACCTTTCTGTGGGTAGCTACACTTCGACGTGGGGACTTACCAGGAAGTTACAGCTTTTCCTGTGTGGTTTGAGTGGAAACAGAATGAGCTGTCTTCAATACCGGGTGTATTGTTTCTGCAGTGGAGCTGAACCATCACGGTGGGGATGAGCCATTCTTTATGGCTACAGAATATTGCCTGGCTCAATTCCTCGTGGCAATTCTCCAACAGCTTGAATCTTAAATGTCCTCACAGGCTCATACATTGAACGACTGGTCCCCACCAGTAGTGCTGTTTAGGAAGGTTCTGGAACCTTTAGGAGGTAGGGCATAACCAGGAAAACAGGTCACTAACATGACCTTTGAAGACTGTTCTCATTTTCTCCCCCTTCCTGCCCCCTGCCCCCTCATTCCTATCTGCAATGATGCCCTGTCTAAGTGAGAGCCCAGAATCAACAGAATTGAGGATCGTATACTGAAACCTCTGACCATGCCAAAGCTTCTTCCCTTAGGTTCTGTGTCTGTCAGGTGTTTGTTATGGCCGTGAAAAGTCTAACGTGGGAGCAGCTGTCTGTCTTGGGGGCAGAAGTTAAGGCAGCACGTACCAGCAGGCTCCATGAGTGAATCTGGAATGTGATATGGTTCACTGACATCGCTGTTGCCAGTGGGGCACTGTCCATAGTAGGGGACACAGGACGATGGGTTTGGGGGTATTAGGAGAGGTGTGATGGAGCCTGTCAGTCCTCCCAAAGTGGGAAGGACTCCAGGATTCTCCTCCAATCTCCTTGAGACACAGAGGCTGCAAGAGGAGGGTCTGTGTGGCTGGAGGCTGAGGTCAAATGGGCCCCCAAATGTCCCCATATGGAGTCCCTGGGTTACCCACAGGGTCACATCTCCAGACCCCAGTTTCCTCATCTTGGAAATAAAACCATTAAACACTGGAGTTTCAGACTTCACAATCCACCCCACCCCAGCTCTTAAGAACTGGTACCTCTGCCCCAGGTCAAACAGCCTGAGGAGGCAAACCTGGGACACATCCATCTCTGAGTCTGGGCTTCCTCTCCAGGTTTGCGGCTCCTTCATCTATCCCAAGAAGGAAAACCTCATCTTGTCAGAGATGACTAAGAGGCAGGGACATGTTTACAACCAAGATGCATTCTCCGACAACGGCAGACAGTGTTCCTCCGTGTCCATCCTCCATTACAGTCCAAAGACCACACTCTCATAGCAGGACAGTCACAGGAGAACAACATTGTGGGGCTGAGGTTGGGCTTCAGTTGCTAGAGTGTTCACCCGACATTCACAAACCCTGGGTTCCACCCCGGTGCCAATGCCGTGTAAAGTAGGAGTGGTGTCTCACACCTGGAATCCCAGCATAGGACACAGGAAAATCAGACGGTCAAGGTCATCCTCAGCTGCATGGCCAGCTTCGGCTACAAGATACCCCGACTCTAAAGAAAAGGAAAAAGAAAAAGGGCCAATGCCCAAGAAAGCGCCTTAGGAACTTGAAATCGACTCTGGCGGTGCTAGAGGGGTTGGCACAGCCCACGTGTCCTGCACAGTATTTGTTAGGTGGGCATCTGACCATAGCCCCAACTTCTCCCTCCTGGGGGTCTCCTTTGGCCTGGGGAAGCCTAGAAAACTGACATCCAAGACACAGCCTCCTGCCCATGAGAGCTGGGGACCACAGGATCGTCAGACAGCAAGCCACCCTGCCTTCCATCCAATAACCCCTGTAAAGTATTCCAAAATCACCTCAGAAAACAGACCCCTGCCTTTAACCCCAGCACTTGGGAGGCAGAGGCAAGTCAATCTATGTGAGTTCGAGGCCAGCCTGGTCTACAAAGCAAGTTCCAGGACAGGCTCCAAAGCTACACAGAGATACCCTGTCTTGAAAAACTAAAGCATGCAAACAACCCAGACCCCTATTTCAGCTCCTCCTCTCTAAGGGCCCCTCCCAGGCCTGCGGCTGTCAAGTGTGATAGCAGAACAGACTGGGGCCCAGGTGGGGGATGCTTAAACCATGGGGTTACGCTCGCCTGAGCTCTTGAAATAAGAAAGTAGACAGGACGTGAGAGCACGGGGCAGCTGTGTCTCAGTAATGCTTTGTTTATGAAAGCAGGCAATGTAACCCACGTGACCATGCTGGCCGGAGAGAAGATGCTCTGAAGAGAGACATCTGTACCTTCAGATCACGGGGACAGTGGACGCCACAGAATTAAACTCTCTCCAGAAATCCCATGCTGGGGAGGGCAAGGCTGAAACCCTGGTGCCAGACAGAGGAGGGACCTGCCTCTGGAAAGAGTTCCGCACAATTCTAGCAGCTCACCAGACTGCTCTGTGGGGACAGGCCAGAGCCAGAACAGCTGTGGGTCATGATGGACAGGGCCTTCCAGTCCTTGGCCAGAACTGCTGAGCTGCACAGACCTCTTGCCACTCTCTGGAAAGATAAACTTCCTATCAGGGCCCGCCAAAACAGACATGGGGGTCACTTCCCAATGCGGCCACAATGAACACATCTCCCTTCTCTGCTTTTCACTCCTGCTCGTCTCCTTAATCCGTGTGATGAGGACAGGTGGCCCAACCTGGCCTGTCAGGATTCCCAGAGCTTGGGCAGGTGATGGCATCCGGCTGCACCTGGAGGGTGCTGATTGTCAGCACAGGGGATGACCAAGAGCTGCATCAGGCTGTCTGAGCACATTACACACTCGAGGAAGGGTCCAGGGGAGGGGTCTTGCAGCAGGAGCTCAAGAACAGAGCCTGGAATAATGAGTTGGAAAATGGGTGGAGATCAGAGAGGCGAGGTGAAGCACGGTTAATAAAAACTCAGAGACAAATATTGGGGTTCAACCTGAAGGTCAGAAAAACACAGCAGCCAGTCACTGGCTCTTACCTCAACCTCAGTCCAAAATGGAGATCTTCCCTCCAGGAATCTTGGAATGAGACTGTGAATGACAGCTGTCTCCTCCTGTCTTCTATCCCTCTCTAGGGCTGGGATTAAAGGCATGTACCACTACTGCCTGGTTTCTATGGCAAACAAGTGTGGCTACTGGGATTAAAGGTGTGTGTCACCACTGCCTGGTCTGTAAGGCTGATCAGTGTGGCTGTTTTACTCTCTGATCTTAAGGCCAGATTTATTTATTAAACTACAAATGAAATATCACTACACTGAGGCACACTCCAAGTGCTCACTCCCCACTGGCTTCTCCCTCCCTGTAAGCAGACGGTCAATCCCATTTCTTGGAAGAGGAAATCAAGGCCCAAGGAGGTGACACACCTGTTCAAGGCCAGCCAGCTTAGTTGGGCCATGATGCACCTCCCTTTCTCCTTCATAGGAGCCAGATACTCACGGCAGTCACTCTGGGAATAGAACTGTGCATTCAGGGGACAAAGGGTCACAGGACCCAGCACTGACTGATGTTTGCCCAGCACTGATCTTGTGTCAAACTCCCCCTTCTCCGAGTGTCATGGAAACAAAGCATCTCCAATTAGCCCTGTGAGGAGGGACATGATGGCTACCATGGGACAAAGGAGGACACAGAAGCATCCAAAAATTGTATCATTGACTTGAAGTTATGGGTTAGCCAGTGACTGATCTGGGATACAAATCCAGGTTATGAGGCCCCAGGAGCTATGTGCAAACGTTTATACACACATACAAATACACATACCCATATATGCGAATACACCTTTGCACCCAAATGTGGTTTCTGCGTACATACAGACAAACACACATGCATACACCTACCGTAGGGAACAGAGGCTTTAGCAGAAGGTTTTAAGCCTCAGAGGCCAGCATAAGCCCCATCTGCAAGGCTGCTGTCCTGGGCTGCAGTCACCAGGTATGTGAACTGACCTAAGAAGATGCCCAGCCTGGGATCTATAATTGTAGCAGAAGGCTGTCCACCCTGTCCCACTAATACTGGGCTCCTCGGATGCAGAATGCGCTACCCAGCACAGGCTGTGATTGACAGCTGGTAGTCACATCTCTTAGCAAACTGTGAGGACCAGCAGCACGCTCCAATAACCTGGCCCTCCATTTCTTACCTGCGAACAGTGTGAACATTCTGCAGGGCTGCCGAGTGAGGCCGCACCAGTGAAGTGTCAAGAGCCATGACCAGCACACAGCAAATAGCAGGCACAGCGGTAATGCATGCTTTGTGAGCACATGCTTCCTTGACTCCAGCGCCAGGCTGACCCTCGGTGCCTCCACAAGCATCACTCGGTTGTTCATCGTTCATCGTCTTGAAGCCTCGTTGACCCAGGCACTCAAATGGAATGTCACCATCAACCACAACCATTATTCCCCTGTTCTAGCCAGATTGAACAGAGGTCACACAGTTATTTCCTTTGTCCCTCCTGTTCCTTCGCTGTGGGCGTTGACAAGAGATGACAGCTGCACCTGGGCTTGTGTTTAAATCACCTCAGAAAGGCACAGGAAATTGTATGGGCTGGGGACACGGTGTCAGAGGGGCAAAAAGTTTATAAGGACAGGCCAAGAGGAAGACCAAGAAACAGGAGAGAGACCAAGGTGGGATGGGGACCATAAAAAAGCTTCAACAGTCCAAGTGAAGCTAAATGCTCTCCTGGCTTTATTCCTGTGGGATGTTTCCAGGGTGCTACAGGATGGCCCCTCCCAGCAGCCAGTGGGAGATGAGGAGTTGAGCCATCGTGTCCCCATCAAGGCCTTCCTCTGAACCACCAGCCAGGTCCTCCTACCTGGCTCTGCTCCCCATCATGGAACAGCTGACCCCAACCTTGCTGTTCCTGAAGCACAACCAGAAAGCAGTCCCTTAAAGCCCTGCACTTACTGTCCCTGCCCCAGTCTCAAGCCTCTGCATGCAGGTCTCAGTCCTAACTGAGGCCAGAGAGCTCTGTCTCCAGATACTGAGTCTAGGAAGCCACAAGCTGCTGTCCACCTTCTGTAGACTACTCCCCCACCCACTCCCTCTCACCCACTCCCTCCCACCCACTCCCCTACCCACTCCTCGCCACCTACTCCCCCACCCTCTCCCCTCCTTTGTGTTTGACCAGGGCTAGCCTGAGCTGGCTATAGCTGAACTGGGATGGGATGATTGCATTAGGTGGGGGGGGGGGTGAATTGGAGTGGGGTGGGTGGGATAGGGTGGAAAGGTCGGGTGGATTGCAGTGGGTGGGTTGCAGTGGGCGGGTTGCAGTGGGTTGGACTGGGGTCATAAACTCCACAGAGCAGCATAGAAACAGAACAATCCTCAGAGTTCCCTCCCTCTCCAGCTTTTCCAGGAGTCACGAAGGAAGCTGATCCACCAGTTGGGCAGTCTCCGTTCTCTGCATCCACTGCTCTCCTTGTCCAGGTGACTGTCCCCCCCGGTTTACAGTGAGCTCCTGTTTGCCCCTTTATCTGCCCCCCTTTAAATGTGACTGCTCAGTGATTTGCTCCCTCATCACCGTGTGTGAGTGCGTGTGCGGACGCATGTATGTGAGAAGGGCAAAGGTCAGAAGCTAACCTCAGGCATCATTTCTCAGGAGTGTCATCCACCTAATTTTTTAAAACTTATTTTTGTTTCACGTGCATTGGTGTTTTGTCTGCGTGTGTGTCTATGTGAGATCTTGGAGTTACAGACAGTTGTGAGCTGCCATATGGGTGCTGGGAATTGAACCCTAGTCCCCTGGAAGAGCAACCAGTTCTCTTAACCGCTGAGCCATCTCTCTTGCCCCCCTCGTTTTTTAAGGCAAAATCTATGGCTCACAATACGCAAGCCATCGAGCCCCAGGGACCCTCCTGTCTGCAGCTCCCCAGCACTGAGACGACAGGCCTGCCCCACTGCACACTGCACCCAGCGTTTCTGTGTGTGTTCTGGGGATCTGAACTCAGGCCCTCACACCCACACCAAGCAGGCAAGCGCTTTGCCATCGGACCGTCCTCCCAGCCCTCATCGTTTCTTTGGAAATCCACGATGTGCCTTGCCGTGGTGCCTACCCCACTGCATGCGTCTCCTGGAGGTCTCAGGCAGGTGACTTCTGAGGTCTTGCTACCTTAGAAGTCACAGGAGCACACGTTTCTCAGGGGCCTCGTGTCGCGTAGTGGCACAGCTGTTCAGACACGTATTTATTGAATGCTAGTATTTCAGGGTTCTATTGTTCTTTTTTATTACAAACAGAATTCTAAAAGCCAGTCCCTTTTATCTGTCCTTGAGGACAATGGTGTGATTTTAAGGACGTCTAAGCTGGCTGCTCTGTTTACAAACCTCATTCTGGAGTAAGAGAGCTTCCTGCGATAAGCTAAGATACCAGAGGAGGGTGGGCTTAGAACTAGTGTGGGAGGGCAGGCAGCCACGTTCCCATGGTCTACCCTTCCATGCTTTCCCCATGATAACAACAGCCCAGTTCTCTTCAGGGGAACAAGGCATTCCCACAAACACCCAGGAAGGCCTGCCAATCAAGGTGTCTGTCCCCTCACCCAGGCAATATGTGCTTTCTTCTTGGAAGTGGCTCGTTAAGTGGGGTGATTAAACCATCACAAGCAGCTGAAACTGGTCTCTCTGTGCCCAAATTTGTTCTTGTCACTCAACAGAGAGCCCTGACCCAAAGTGAAAGAAAAGAGACGGGGCACAGAGCACAGAAACAAACCCCATTGAAAAGACTGAAGACATGGCTTGGGGATTGGGGGTGGGAAGAGGGGAGAGGGGATGCTCCACCAGCACGCAAGGGTCCCAGGTTCAATCCCCAGTAGAGGAGGAAGAAAAGTCTATAAAGAATGTTAGCAAAGTTCACTCGAGGGGCTGAGGGGATGGCTCAGTGGGGAGGAAGTGTGAGGATCTGAGCTAGAATCCCAAGCACCCGTGTGAAAAACCAGACAGGGCTGTAAGTGTTCCTGTCACCCCAGCACTGCGGCCATAGGAGACAGGAGGATCTTGGGGGCTGGCTGGCTGTCAGTCTCACCCCGAGTTCACTGGGAAATAGAGTGATACACTCGACGTCATCCTCCCCTGGCCTCGGCACTAATGTGTGCACTCTCTCAAGCATGTACAGGTAACAGAGAGAGGAGGGAGAAACAACTTCTGATTTGGGGTAAAAGGACATTTAATTTATCCTTGGACAAACACTGTCCTTTGCCACCAAATTTCAGGTCCTCTAGGCTTCTTCTCAGCCAGGCTTCAACTTTGACCCTGTCCTCACCAGACCCGTACAATCCAGTCTCCACAAGAATCCCCACCTCATAGGCTTGCTGTCAATCACCCTGGCCTATCCCCAGCAAGGACCCTGGTGATCCATCAGGAATTGATCCCCAGCAATTCTCCTCCCCAGGACCTTCCAACCTGCCCCCAGCTGTGAAATTTGCCCACCTTGCTCTTCTGCTGTAATAAACAGTTGGCACCTCCGTGACTGGTTGTGACCTGTCACCCACGATCTCTCACATGACCACATGTTACATGTATTCATGTGACCGAAGCACAGTCCCTGGTGTGGTGATGGCTGAAGGTAGCCGAACCTCCAAGAGCGAGTGGGAGGCTGTCACCAGCTCACCTCCTTTGTCTGGCTTCTTGTTTCTCCTTCTCAAAAGTGTTCCTCCCATGATGCCATCTGTCACTAAGCCACACAGCCAAGCAGCCCTCACCAAAGCCAATGCTGTATTGGACTTTCAGCCTCTAAACTGTGAATTAAATAAACATCTTGTTTTTAGTGATCCAGCCTCGGGCGTTTTATTACAGTAACGGAAAACAGACAGATAAAACATTGACTGCCATAGTCCTAAATAAAGTCTTCCTTACTAGTTCAACAAGAACCAGAAGGTTTTTCTTTTTTTCTTTAATACTTTTCACTTAAAAATGTGTGACAAACCCTGTATGTGTAGTGGGGACAAAATGCAGACTGACCTAAGAACAATTCCTATCCCTATGTAGAATGTGCATAGTGGGTGCCGGAATGGGAACAGAACCTTGACTATGGGCAGATGTCTAGTGTACAAGCAGACGGACAATTCCCCCAGTGGTCTGTGCTGGGCCTTCCAAACGTTCAGGTCACATGGAGAAGTTTGCCCAGGAAGGTGATCCTCCTGGCTGGGGGAAAATCAAGGACCAATCCTCCAGGGCAGGATTTCCCCTAGAATTCTGGACCAGAGTTCACAGTTTAAAAAACAGAAATTGTTTTCATCAGAACATGATCAGAGTTCACATGAGCGTGCGCACACGCGCGCGCGCGCGCACACACACACACACACACACAGGAGTGGGGGTGATGTCAAGAACACTGCAGATTAACAACAGATGGAAGAGATAAAGTACAGACCTGGCAGCATAGCCCCAGAAGCAGGAGGGGCATTGCTATAGGAGGAGGCGTCCAAACTGAACTTCTGCAAAACAAATCTCATGTAGAAGCAGCCTCCCAGCCCCAGATGTCACTTGAAACTTTATTAAAAATAAAACAAAACAGGGAGGGGTATGGCACATGAGATCATCCCAGAAATTCCAGCACCGAGCAGATACTTGATCATGTCTAAGAAGCTGTTGCTAATTGTTCTCAGACCAGATTCTGATATTCTGTCTGTACTTTGAAAAGAAGCCCTTGCCTTTTAGAGACGCATTACTGAAGTATTGTAAAATGATGTCAGGTCTAGGATTGGCCTGAAGATAATCCAGGAGAAAAGACACAAAAGGAATACAGTGTAGACAAAACAAGATACGCGGGGAACGTCAAAGCTGGAGATAGATGGACGCTGGATGCCTTGCACTGGCTTCTCTATATGATTGAAAACACACAGTGTGGAGTGGAGTTGAGGGGGGAGCCTGAGGGGAACCCCTGGGAGAGACACACAAGGGAACTGTTCATCGACTTCCACGGCTATGACAAATTACCTGAGCAGATCAATTTACATAAGCAAAGGGTGTGTGTGTGTGTGTGTGTGTGTGTGTGTCATGCTAGGCAAACACTCTACCAACTGACCAACTGAGCTGTTTCCCCAGCCAAATAAATACTATTTTAATGCGACTGATTAAAAGTCAAAACCAGTACAGTAAAGAGAATGGGTTCCAAAAAGCCAGTACACACAGTAGGAATAAATTCTGGTTCCACTGCCAGTGGCCCCGCAGTCTGCCCCAGCCATACAACTGTCACCACCACCTCCAGGATCTCAGTATGTAGTCCCAACCGGCATCAAACTCACAGCAAGCCTCCTGCCTTGGCTTTTGAATATTTAGATAACAGGATGGAGCCACAACACCATACTTCCACGTAGATGTTTTCGTGGGAAAATTGGCTTTGGTGGGAATGGGGGTCTGATCTTACTTCCCCTTCTGGGTACACACCAGAGACTGGGGACCCTGCTCCGGACACCTGTGCTTGGTGTGACCCACAATGGCAGCCTGTAAGTGGGCAGAACTTGGCAGACAGATCCCCATCACAGACCCCCTCTGGAAATCCCAACCCACTCCCACCAAGATCTGTAAACTGCCTTCCCTCACAGCTCCACACTCCAGGGGCAGAACTGTGACAGCTCAGAGCCTGTAATTCTCGTCCTAACAACCATTTCCTTAACCTTAGCAACCCTCTCCAGGAGTCTTTTCCATCTTCTAAAACATTAAAAGGTTCTATTCCTTTAAGGCAAAGCCTCCTTGCCGTTCATGTCGTCGCTTCTTTGCCGGCTTGATTTCAAGAATGGCAGAAACTTCCTCCGTCTCCAGGTATTTGGTAAAGCCTTCTCGAGCTAGGTAGCTTTTTTATTTTTAGTGTTTTACATTTTTATTTATTTTGTGTGTGTGAGTGTGTGAGTGCACATAGCCTGCAAGCCACGTGTGTGTGGAGGTCAGAGGACAACTTGTGGGAACGGGTTCTTGCACCGCGTGGATGCCAGCGACCAAGCTCAGGTCACCAGGCTTGATGGCAGCATCATCGCCCACTGAGTCATCTTGATGGCTCCCATTTCATTAAAAAAGAAAAAAGCCAAATAAATCGTCCACCACGTGTTCTCCATCTGCAATCCCCTGCATGCAGCTTTCTCCTTCTTGGAGGCTCCTCAGATGTTTTTGTGATGAACGCAGATGCCTCGAGTCATCCGCCAAGACGTGATTTTCATCCCGCCACAGATCTCAACAGGAGTGCTCCTCAGGGCTCTACTCTGCTCTTTCTGAAGCATTCTGGGCACGTGGGCAGAGTCCTTGGGACAGAGGACAGGTGAGTGACTCAATGGAGTTGACACAAAGAGGACCTAACACCCCAAAAGGGTTTGTTTGCACAGGGAGTTGAAGTGTTGTCACGCCTTTCACTCTTGTTGCCAGGCAACCAGGACGCTCCATCAATGACTCAGACACAGTTTCTACCTGTAAAATACAGTATTGGGAGTCTCTGGCTCAATTGCCGTAGGAGGCAAAGCCTACAAATTTGTTTCTGCTACACACTGATTCAGGAAAGGATTGTTTTGGTTTTTAATGGTGGTTTTTTGGTTTTGTTTTGGTTTTAGTATTTTTAAATAAAGTTGGTACTTATATATGAAATTCTCCAATTTTTTAATTACAAAACTCAATAAAGTTGCAGGATACAAAGACAAAAATATTCTTAATTAAAAATAAAATTGGTTTAGTACTCAAAAAATTAGAAACAGCTAAAATTTTGATTTCTGACAAAATAATAAATATAGTATTAACATTTTTGATGCTCTAAATTTTGTAGACTTTATTGCATTTGGTTTTTATTTTTAATCAGTCGCATTAAGATAATATTTATTTGGCTGGGAAAACAGCTCAATTGGTAGAGTGTTCGCCTAGCATGCATGAAGTCCTAAGTTCTATCTATGCATGAGTGTGCATGCACACACACACACACACACACATTGCTTAAAGCTGGCATGGTCACACCCATCTGTAATCCCAACAGAGTCAGGAAGATGCCTGTGAGTTTCAGGCCAGTCAGGTCTACATAGTGAGACCCTCCCTCAAAATAAAGAACAACAACCAAAATGGTGTTCCTCCCTCTACAGTTCATCAGTCAGGGCACGCAGCTTCACCCACCATCAGCACAACTCTGACATACTAGAATGGGGCAGGAAGCAGGAAGACTCCACTGGCTTTGGCAGTTCAGGTCGTGAGGGCTAAGCTAA